AAATAATTATATATGATAAAAATTTACAAATTCAGCCATTTTTTTAAACATGTCAGGTGTAAAAACATTTTAATAAACAGTGTAAATTTATCCCCCCCCCTTCTTATTTTTATATCACTGCGGCTGGTGGCAGCACTACTGGGAAAAGGACTTTCCCGTGAAAACTGTTATAAAGACTCTTACTTGAGCAGCTCCAGAATAGCCAGAACAATGTCATTGACGTAACAGAATCCTGAAGCCTCAGACTTTTTAGCATGGTGGAGTCCTCCTGCCCAGTTAATAGCAATGTCTGCTGCCTGTTTGTTAAGCTTCACAGCTCCAGCTTTTACAAAAAAAATTGGGAATTATCAATTTTGGTTTTCATTCTCAGCAACTTTTAAATACTGTTTACAGGGTTATTTTCGCCCCATGTTATTTTCGCTCTTTCACATTTGAAAACAAGTTTGCCCTGTTTTAAATTCGCCCAAAAAGATTTTTGTTTAAGATATTATACAGTTTACTTTGAGATTTGTGAAAGTTTTAGGGCGCAAAACACAGAACCTCCAACACAGTAATATCATTTTTATATTTAACTTTTTTAATGAATATATGAATAGTTTGTAGTTTTGTGAAAGTATAACAGAACACAGAATCTGTAACACATCTATAAAGTTTTCAGTTATTTGAACTGCTTGTACATGTACCGGTACTTCATTTTCTTGTTTCATTGTGTCATTATGATGGAAGAATTTGGCTTGATTTACTAAAAACTTCTTACTTACCTACTGATCCACCTGTTGAGAGCTGACAGAATTCATACATTCCATCAAAGACGGGACAGTCCTCTCCTACATTGACTGAAATTACAAGAAAAAAAAAATCAGTCCCAAGTAATAGAAGAAAAGATGTATTGTCGAAGTGTCTAATTCATTATTATAGTACATAAACACTTGGTTTTATAAAGAACTTGCTACAAAGAAAATCCTGCATGGTTATAATAAACTTTTAAAGATCCTATTAGAACACTGTCCAATATGTTTCTTCCCTATAATAATTTTTACTGTATTTAATTTAAAATCTTTATTAAACATTACAATTCAGGATATTCCTCAAAATCTTTTTCATAATTGTTTCAGTATTATCTTAATGTGGAGCTTAAAATTCCCACGTAAATTTTAAACATCAAGTCAATTAAGTGTTACAATTGAAACTAAATTGTATCACATTTTAATGAACAAAAATATAATAATTATTAATAAACTTACATCTTTGCATCTGTTTGTTATAATCAGACATGTTGTCTGGTCGAATGCTGCGTAAAAACTTTATGTAGTCATCACTGTGAAACTTTGTCATTTCTTCTTGTGTGGCTTTGTGTGGTCTCTGAATGAGAAATAAATAGGCAAATATGAGTAGAAACAAATAATTAAATTATTAGATGAAATATCTGAAAGTATTTGCACACTTACATATATTTCCATTTTCCTGTAGAGTCCATAGTTAAGAATGAGGTTGTGGGTCATACGTATCCTGTGAGGTTTCATGGGATGCCCTTGTCCATAGTAGTAATTACCAATGTCACCTTAAAATTAGTTAAAATCTTTCAAAATAGAAATAATTATAGATAAATAATTTTCAAAAACATAAAGACTTCACATTATTTATATCTGGAGAAATGTATACTTCTGTACATTTCACTAGAATCAATCCATCATTTCCTATCCATTTGCCTAAATTTATGGTTCTAAAGTATTTTTGGAAGATTTGTAAGGTAATCTTATGTATATCAAAACCAGGAAAATCGTCCTAGCTATCAAGAACTTTGAGGATTAGAATATTTTTCCTTCTCGAAAACAAGTTGGGCAGGGCTTCCATACATGTAAATTTCCATATAAATCTCTTATTTTTCGAAATAATTCAAGAAAAACTGCATATTTAATTTCAAAACAGTTTTATTATTATTGTAAAGTTCAAATAACTCGCATAAATTGGGTTTCATTGACATAATAAGCAGAAATATTACTTTGAAAATCCGTACGCAAGGTCCGTTGTGGGTTGGGCTTCCATAGTTTTATTCAGATGGTTGAAACGCGCTTTCCAATTTTAAACTTATATTTTGGATTTAATACAAAGAAAACGAGTTTAAAAGATGGAAATAACCATATAAAATTGTAACTTGTCAAAATTACACTTTACATATATTTTTCTTTACGAAAAACATTAATTATTTCGGCTTCTTCTTTTGTTTCCTGGGGCTCCTACGGGCGCACGATGTTTCACCAAAATAAAAACAACAAAGCCACTTTACGAATTGAATAAAATTATTTATGAAAGTATAAGGTTTCTGTTTAAATACAATAACACGATCAGACTTACCATCGTAGTAGTAACAAATTTTCTTCTTATTGTGCGGTTGGGTTGCCATTCTGTGAAGCTTTGAGTAAATGACCCTGCGGAAGCGCACAAGCAAAAGAGCGACACCTGTCAACATGTAATTCAAGGGCAAGCAACTCTCCTTGTAACTTATTTCAGAGAGAGAGAGAGAGAGAGAGAGAGAGAGATGACGTACTGTACTGTAATATCTAAGAAATGTTATTTGTGCACAGAATTGCATAAAATCAATAGCATCTAGGAGATTGGAACTCTAACGTAACCCGGCTTTCATTTTTGTGTTTTAAAAATAAATATTGAGTGTAAGTAATTTTATAACTTCGTCTGTTAAAGGGTGTTTTGCATCTTCTCTCAGCATATACTTATGAAATCGATTTTTATTTCGGTAAAATAAAATTGACAGCAGAGAAAACAAAAATAGGGCAAAAGGGAGGGGGGGTTATCCTTGAATCGTATCTGTAATAAGTAAGTGGTCATTGACTCACTCAATTATTATTTGTTAAAATTTTATCTTTTTAACCTGCTTTTTTCTACTCAATCTAGAACTGGTAAAGAAGATTGGTGAACAAGGCGGGCAGATATTGTAGCGTTATTGAAATCATATCAAATATGTGAATTGATTATTTAAATTAGCTTCTAATTATTGAAAATTTTGAAAGTATGAGAAAAAAACTTTTCTGAGAGAGAAAAATTCTGTTTGTTATTAGATGGTATCTGTTATCAACTTTAAATAAAAATACCTTTGCTTTATAACTTATCCACTATGCTACACCGCTCAGTTGATTTTAGGCATTTAAATTTCATATTTGATAAAATTGCTTTTAAGGTATAGTGGGTCTCCACTAAAATAAAAAAATGTGTTTTTTATAGCACACTTTTAGAATCATCTTTCAAAAAAATGGAGAGAAGACAAGGTTTAAGTATGATCGTTTTTGTTCTTTTTAGTGTGTGTAAGTATTTTCATAGGCAAATATTTTCAGTCTTTGTGAGACTTTTGAAATTTGACCTATATGCTAAAAATTCAATTGTTTTTTCACTTCTTATCTGTCGCAACTTTCGCCATAACTTAAATATGTATAATTCAATTACTTGAGTATGGAATTCCATATACGACAGCCAACTGCTTACAATTATTTGGTAAAGCCAACTGCCTATTCATATTCACTAATTATATTTATTTGAAATTGCTTTCAAATTTTCTTCAAGACACATAAGACAATTTTTTTGACCTTGTGAAAAAATTATTTCATGACTGTGACCTATTTGCATATAAATATTACTTATATGACATTTTTCATACCAGCTTAACACGGATTTGTTTGAAATCAGCCTGAAAACATCACTAGATATTCAAATACTCACGAAAATGGATTATCTGGTCATAGCTTATGTAACATTTAATTAATATATATGCAACAGATAAAGTGATAAAGTACATTTTTTATTTTTATCTCATTTGAAACTGGTATTAAAATGAATATTTTGTGCTCTTAATCAAGAACAAAACTTTTGCAGTAAATTATAAAAAGGATATGTTGTTTCTGTTTTGATAAATATTTTCCATAATTTCTGAATATGTATATGTCAATGACATACCCCCTCCCCCCCCCCCCCCCCCGAAATTTTAAGAAAGGAGGTTACTTAGAAGAAATTCCTGAATTTTTTTTTACTGCCAAATAAAAAAATGCGTGTTTGTTTAAAAAAAAAATCTATAAATATGAAAATTCATTCAAATATGTGTAAGTCACAGGCATCTGACGTCATATATGGATTTTATTGAAAGAAAAATAAAAAAAAAATAACTTTAGATGATTTAGAATCACAGGCACCTAATGTCAGGTGCCTGTGATATAATTCTCTTTTTTTTGCTGTCCTTAATTGTTATGTTTTTTCTCAAAAACAAGTTATTATATCTGTCTGTCTGTCTAGCTGTTTGTTAATTTGTTTGTCCGCAAAAAAACTTTAATATTGCCCATATTGGTTGAACCTTTGACTCGCATTGACTAGTATCTTTCATACTTCACATGCATATTCTTTATTATAAGACCTTTTCATGAATATAAATATTTTTTACCTTTAGACATTGAACTTTGACCTGCTGTAAGAAAACAATGGATATAGCTTTTAAATAATAGTTACTAGGACATTCATATTTCTCAGGTGTATTACATGTGACAAAATGTTCCATTGAGAATACCAACAATTTTAACCTTGACCTTGGAGTTTGACCTACTGCTACATTTAAAATATTTTAACCTTGGCCATAGATTTTGAACAGTTGTGCAAGGGCTTTTTAAATGTTTCACATGTGCATTTCTTATAACAAGGTTTTCCCCTGGGTACCTTACATTTGACCCTTTGACTTTGAACTTTGACTTGACCCACATCCTAAATAAACTTTAACCTTGGCCATAACAGTTTTAATGGTAAGTGCTTAGACTTTCATATTTCACTGGTCAGTTTTTCACAAACACAACTTCATAAACTTGCTTATATTAATATGCTGCATACTAAGTCTAAATGCTTGTAAATATGTTCAAATTGTTTTTCATTGCTCATCAGATATTTTCAACATAGTCCACAAAATTTTTATGTAAAGATTTAAAACTTATAATAAAAAAAACCAATAACATAATATATTTTAATAATATGCCAACAAAATTACATACATATATACCAAACACATGGTAAATATAGATTTCCTTTATCAAACATACAGATCTTTATTTAACAATTAATTTAAAATCACATCCAATTCAAATTCTTAACTATCGTTAGTGTATATTTATCAAACCAAATATAACAGTACTTATACCAACTTTTATTCATTTGTCATCTTGTTCTGGTGTCAGATATAATGAGATTAAACTTTTGATTGAATAATTTTTTCTTCAATATTTCAATATTTTTCACACATTACAGTTTCTTGTGTTTTGTTAAATCTAGCGGAATAATTAAACTGTACATGGACCACATAATTTGATGATACTGTGTTCAGTATTCTTCAGTCTCCTGAAACTGTCATCTTTCTGCAGCTTCATCATCTTTCTCATCATCCAAATCATCAGCATACAGATCTTCGGATTCAAACTTCAGCTCTTCCATTCTTTCGTTGATGTCCCGTATAACATTTTGAATGCTTAAATCAAAATTGAAGTTTATAAGTTTCACAGAGTATACCTATAGTTCCTTTTTTTAGTGTACATACATGTATATATACATTGAGTGATTTGCAGGAAAGTTATTACATATTTATAGGCAAATTTGGGATTCCGGATATAACGAAGTATTTGAAAAATAAAAATATATGGATATAACACAAAAATTTCATGAAATTTTTGCAAAAATAAAAATAGGCAGAAAAATGAAATTTTTGCAAAAGGACAGCATGCAATTATTCAAAAATAATATTCATATAAAAGTGATTTATAATATACAAGTACCATAATTACCTTTCTTTCAAATCTCCTTCTTCTTCTTTAAAACTGGAATCATTAGGATGGTCTGTGGCATTTTGTCTGGCTAGTTGTAACTTAACAGTCTGAAAGGAATTGGTACAAAGATTGACTTTATTAATGTGCAGTAAAATAATGTATATAGCATTACTTGGAATCTGTAAATCTTGATAAAAAGCATCTAAGTAATAGGTTACCCCCCCCCCCAAAAAAAAAATCGATTAAAATATTCATATTAAAACAATTGTATGTATGATTACAAATATTTTTCACTAAACAGGCTTTCCAGTCCAGTAAAGTATGTTATTATCAACATTGACATGCTAATACATGTATCATTAATATGATAAAGTTTATTAAACATTACCTTTTCCAGTTTGTCCTTTTCATTGTTTTGTATTCCAGAGACAATGGAAGCTATACTGGTCAGATTGTGGATTTCCTCTAACTCCTTTACAATTAATATGATATCTTGGGAGATTTTAGAGAAAGTTTGTGTTATTTCATGAACAAGTTGTCTGTACATTGGGAAATTATAGTTTGGAGCTCCATTCAAGTATGCCTGGAAACCCCTAAAACCAAAATAATATCATATCATTATGAATTAAAATATTGATATTAATCATGTTATTAATGAAAACTATGTTCAATCAAATTTCAGTCAACTCAAGCAAAGTTAATAAGAAAGTGTTGCTGATCGATACCGAGAAAAAGGATGGTGTTTTAAAGTAAACAAATAAGAATAGTAGACAAGAAGCATAAGTAGTTGAGACAGATGGGTGCCTAAACATGCTAAAGTTTTGGGTCATTTTACAACTTTCTGCTTTTAAGATTTAGATTCTTTTCTATATAAAAGTTAGAAAAAAGTCTTACTCTTCAAATAAACTATACGTTTCCACTCTTTCTCCTTGCAAACAATGAAATCTTTTTAATAAATCTTTCGGGGGCAACCCCTCAACTGTGTTGTTTTCTTCTGCCATGCTACTTTCACTTTGCTTTACAAAATCTTGTAAACGCTTAATCACATGGAGGAAGTGGCTTTCAAGCGTCTTCGAGAGAGTGATCCTGTATATTATTTTGTATATTACATTTTGAAAACATGTCAACATTGACGAACAGTTCCTCGTATAAAGAACAAAAAGAACAATTCGTGAGTGGTCATCAGGGATCGTCTGCAGCAGAAATAACTTTAATTTATCTAGGCATAGCTTGTTGTGTTTTTCTCCACAATGTTTGCGTCCCTAAGCGGAGCAATCAATGGCCCCATGGGATTTTTGACTTCCTAGTACTCGTGCTTCCCGGACTCCTTTCGGTTACGATCCTCAACGAATCAAAGATTCTGATTGCAGTAACCCTTCTGTCTCTAGCAGCTGTTTCATTCCTTACTCAGAAGCAAAGCAGGAAAAACAATAAATCCATCGTTCCTTTTCTTCAACAGGAATTCAGCAAGAAACTTGATTTTGTTAGTAATTTTAGAGCTTTTGCCTTAATTTGTACATCTATATGTATCTTAGCTGTGGACTTCAAAGTGTTTCCAAGAAGATTCTGCAAGGCTGAAACATTTGGTACAGGCTTGATGGATACGGGTGTCGGTCTTTTCATCGTAGCCAATGGTATTGTTTCGCCAGAATCTCGTCACAAATCAAATGTTTCAAGTCTCAAAAGGTACCATTTGCACTGAATTTTAAAGAGTTTTAATAGCATGTATTTGGTTAGATCACATCAACTAGTGTAAATAAAGTGTTTCTATAAACCTAGCTTAAAGGGCTTTCATGAGTCAATGATCAGAAACACAATTTTTATCCAGAAGTACAATGACCCAAATATGTAAAATTGAGAATTTAACACCACATTGCACAAGGTTGAAACATTTTTATACAGGAATTGTACTACACATATTAAATATAACTCTTTGCGCATATTAATTCCTTACAAATTATCTTACACGGAAAATATAATCTTGAAGCTTATAGATAAATGTTTTGCAGCTCTGTTTTATCCTCCATTCCTCTCATTGTCATTGGATTGGGTAGAGTCCTTTCAACTAAAGGTGTAAATTACCAAGAACATGTTACAGAATATGGAGTGCATTGGAATTTCTTCTTCACTGTATCTGCAGTTAAGGTAAGTAGACACTAGACAAGATTTTAAGCAGTACAGATCAATATTAACATAACTTCAATAGCATAGTTTGATTTATAAAGGATACACATTTTGTATTCAATTGGAATCTGAGTACAGAATTTACAATGAAAGAAATGATATACTTTAAATACTTTGATGGACCATTATAATAACTCACGTTTTTTTACAGGTTTGTTCAAGTCTTATTTTGACAATCCTTGGAAACATCAATCTCTCAGGGCCAGCCATTTTCATAATCCTAGTCTATCAGCTGTTCCTCACTAAGTTTGGTTTAACGGAGTACTTAGACCTTGGAGCAGATGGACAGGGTGGGAGACATGGCTGGTTTGACTCCAACAGGGAGGGCATCGTGTCCTGTGTAGGGTATCTGTCTCTGTACTTCTTAGCAGTGGAACTGGGGAAGCATATATTTAATGAAGAAAGGTAGATATCTTCAAATTGTTATATAGTTACATGTTTATACCCGGTATTATATAGGTAGTTGATTTATATTAGGATAAATTTCTAAACAGAAAATTGCTGGATGGAAACTCAAGGTTTAGTCTGGCCATATCTGTCTTATTTTAAGTATGACTCCTTTCTAAATATGATATTACCAGGGTATAAGTTTGTTATCTTAATCTCAATAAGGCCAAAAAAATTCAAGATGAACAAATGGTCTTGGGACTTCAGACTCATTTCAACATACATTGTATCCATGGTATACTAATACATTAGAGACAAGAATGTTTTACCCTGGTAGATACTAAAAATTAACTGTATCTTGTAAAATGAAATGTGACAAAATACAAATCTATCATTATATATATATATATATATATATATATATATATATATATATATATATATATATATATATATATATATATATATATATATATGTACATGTATATTCAAACTCATTTCAACATACATTGTATCCATGGTATACTAATACATAGAAAATGTAACCCTGGTAGATACTAAAAATTAACTGTATCTTGTAAAATGAAATGTGACAAAATACAAATCTATCTTTATTTTTATATATATATATATATATATATAGATGTACATGTATATTCAAAACTTGAAATGAATTATTTTGTTATTTCCAGGAAAACAATAAGAGATTGGATGCAGTTTGCTGTAGTTCTGTGCTTCCTCCAGGCTGTATTCTGGTGTGTGATGATCTGGTCTGGGCTCCACATTCAGGAAGTCTCCAGACGTTTTGCCAACTTTGCATATGTGACCTGGATTGTAAGTACATTGTATAATTTCATTAATTTGTATTGATATTAGGATCCACTGGGCTGCTGTAGACATACATTTCCTTCTGCTATATACATGCATGGCCAAACATTTTCTGCAGAAATTTGTCTCAGCATACTAGCAACTAAAACATAAAGAAAACTAAGAAATCTGCTTAAATTTTTACAGTACATTGTAATTTAAACAGACATTTTGATACTGCAGAAATGTATGGCCCATTGGAGGAAAAGTTCCGGTACATGAATTTTCCTTTGATATGAATAATGCAATGAAAAATTCCTTTTTTTTTTCAGATGGCCTTGTCAGTGTTTCTCCTTGTGTTGTTGTTGTTGACAGATTTGTTCAGTTATTTCCAGTCATTCACATTTTCTGAAACAAAGAACATGGAAGGTACGTGTAACGACTAAAGTCAAGTTTTTTATGGTTCTTTATTTTAAATTAAATTTTCAAATTGGCAATGAGCTACAAACAAACAAAAATATATACACACATTACCAACAGAACACACAAACATAAATAAAAGACTATCGGTTAATAAAGTATGGTGCGCGTTTCGCGTTCTTTTAATATGTGCAAAATCACCCGTTACATATGTAACAGTTTTCCTATTTTTAAAAATCTAAAACATTGCTTGAAGTAAAGGATTTTACCCAGTTACATTCAATTCAAATCATTTTCATTCAGAAATGACACAACAGTATATATCGACTTTGACAGATAGTGTTTACAGTACTGTACAATTTATACACATGTAGCACTGAAACTTGTTGAAAACAAGTTGAAGAGAGATCCTAGCTTTAGTCCAAGGTTCAGCTTTGTTAATTTCAATCAAATTCATATTACTTTCTTCATATCATTTACATGCCTTTGACTCTTTAGGGCAAGTGTCAATTTTTCTAAGCAAATGGAGATGAAAATTAAAATTTTATTAGCACTGGTCAAATTTTTACAATTCTAATAATTCTTAGATACTAAGACAAACTATTTATGTATCATAAAATATTCATATTTGTTTAATTCAAAGAACACTATACAGTAAAACTTGTTTAGTAAGAACACTGTTATTGTGAATTCACAAATATAGTGAAGTTATCTAGGATCCTTAGATACACAAATTTCACAAATTTCTTATTATGGATATAACGAATTACGGATATAACAAAGTAATTTCATAGGTCCCATTGACTTTGTTACAACCAAGTTTGACTGTATTCCTTTAAGTTTTCACTACTTTTCCTATTTTCAGGTGATGTGTGCCTGTTGTCAGCTGTAAATTACAATGCATTGTTATACTTCCTTTTGGCAAATGTTTTCACTGGACTTGTAAATTTGTGCATAGACACTATACAATCTACTCCAACAAAGAGCATGACAATTCTTACTATTTATATGGGTATTTTAAGTTTTATATCAATTATGTTTTATAAATGGAAAATACAATTAAAATTCTGGTAGCACTTGTGAATTTACTGTAGTTCTTCTTTTAACATTGGATGTCCACTTGGCTTGGCGCATCATTGCTCCTGCTCTGATCCTTACATCGCAGGTTCGATTCTCACTGTGGGATGTGGACTAGTCCTTTGGATAACATGTATAAACCAAGGTCCCGTGCTGCAGTAGGTGCTGGCACCAAAAAGATTCCTTGGTGCTTAATGGCCCTGAGTGACGAATATAGGACAAAATTTGCAGCTCTCACTGGCAAGAAGTGGCATCTTCATATGAGTGAAAAATTCGAGAGAGGGTCGTTAAACAACATACAATTTATCAATCAATCTTTCAACATTGTACATGGAATTGATCATTTTAGTCATACATCATCTTTACTTGCAATATACAGTAGATGTTCATGTGTTGTAATTGTTTTACAAATTTTGTATTCATTAAATAGAAACCATAGGAATTAGATTAATATCACCATGATCATAGCTAGGAAGGGTGGGTCAGTTGATACAATTGTATTACTCAGCTCCTCTACTTGTAATTTTTATCTCACCTGTGTCAAAAATTCAAGTGAGCTTTGCTGATCATAATATGTCTTTTGTCTGTCTGTAATTCAGAATGTGTAGTCTGTAAAGTATTCATTTTTCAACTTCTTAACCAGAACTTAAAAGCCAATTTCAACCCAACTTGCCACTAAGCATTGATGAAGGAGATTCAAGTTTATATTTTAGCCCCACTCTACCCCTAATGGCATGATTTGAACAATTTTGAATCTATGTTTATATCTGGGAAATTTCATATAAATTTCATCTTCTTGTAAATGTAGAACAACAGGTTTATGAATACTGTATACAGGGAAATTTTTACCCCTGTTTTATTTTCACCACTTTTGCCCTACCTTCATCTGAGCAAATTCAAAGAATGCAGTATAATTACTATAATAAAACTATGACAGGACGAATTTATAAGGGGCAAAATTGTTTGCAAGTGTGAAAGGGCAGAAATAAGATGGGGCAAAAATTACCCTGTATACAAGAATTCCCATTTTGCCTTAGTAGCTCTCAGGTGAATTAAGGTGATGAAGATTTAATATATCTAAAATATAAAGTATTATTTGGTATTACACGTATTATTTCATTCACAGTATTCATAAATCCCCATTAATTGTTTAATATTTACATTTCCAAAATTTTATCATTTAAATTTTTATATCAACCCAGTAATAATATTTACAAATACTAAAATTCCCATTTCGCCTTAGTACTTTTTAAACTTTTCCTTACCCGAATTTCACAGTTTCCAAATATTAGGACTGTGATTATATTATTTCATGTGGGAGGCACCCTCATGTGCATCTTTAAGGCATAAACCATGCTGTTCAACTTCACTTCAATTTATTTCATTGAAATGAGACAGGAATCTGTGAATAAAAATGAAAAAAAAATTAGGACAATGAACATTATATAAAACGAGAGAGGTTTGTGAAGCAATTATGCCCCCTCCTCCAAATGACTGGCATTTTTCCAAGTGCAAGGGGCAAAACTCTGTCATCAATAGGTTGATCGCACTCAAAACAAAACTTAATTGACTTAGATATTTCTATGATACAATCATCTGTATGTCAAATTTCATTTCAGTATGTGCAACTGCTGCAAAGAAAGTGAACCAGTATTCTACTTGGTGGACAAACAGTCTGACTGACCAACACGCAGCAGCAAAGCAGTATGCCCTCCCTTTTTTGAAGGGTGTTTAATTATTATATATGGTAATGTGTAATTATGAGCACATCATTGTTCAATCTATAGTGTATGCATTACAAAAGTAGATACAATATAAATAAAAAAATCTTTGTGAATCTTGATTTGACAGCCTTGCAGTTCAGCAGCATTTTGAACCTTGAAGTCTGTTCTTAGGTATTGTATAGATTGTATGAGCGGAACATGAAAGTCCTTGTGCTGGTCCTCAGATATCACTTGATAACTCTGCAGCTTGTCAATGACAATCTTACAGAGAAACAATTAAATGCACATCCTCCTTCTGTAACAAAGTAGTTTTGTCAATTTGATAGGCATATAACACATCATATGAAAAATCAATTTTCTCAGGAACACCAAAAAACGATAGATTTTATTATCCCTGTATGGTGCAGATTCATATTTTTCAAATAATAGCTTGAAGTATGTAGGATGGTCAAACATTGTGGGGTATGAATGCTTCACATGGAATTCAGATACTGTAGAAATACATTTTTCCACGTGGTATTAATTTACACAGTCACACATTTTCCGAGTAAATTTGTCCAAGTGTACTTATATAAATGTAAGGCATATAGTGACAGTCTAAGAAATATGATTATGATTTATAATAAAAAATTTCACACAAAGCACAGTCACGGATGAAACAAAATAGAAATTTGAGATTCCACGGAAATTATGACCAAAGTAATTGTCAAAATGTTCAAGGGTACACTTTCATCTGTGACACTTATATAAATGTAAGGCATATAGTGGCTACAAAATCTATACCGGGAAAATCTAAAATTTAACATGTAGAGATGGACATGGATGTTCACTGTCGTATGTTCATTTACTGTAAGCAAAATGAAACAAGAAGTGTTTGTCAAACACTCAGATGCCCCTACCCTGAATTTTTTGGATTATTTTATAGTTTTAATATTTTTTTAAAAAATACACAACAAAATTTCTACTTTTCTTCAGTATTAGGTATAAAGTGTATGGCACTTTCTGAAAGTGCAAGGATGTGTGAATCAAATGAGTCCCAAAATTGGTAGTTAAAAAGATATATTTTATTGGAAATGCTATGCTATAGTAACATGTGAGTTATGAAACATATATTATATTCAGAAAATATGAACTCCAAATTAATCTATGTCCCCTTTTCAAAATAACGATGGAAAAGAATTACAATTAAAACTAGTTTGAATATGAGAATAAGAGTTTTTTCTCAACTTGTAGGCATCAACTGAAAAGTGTTAATATTCATTCGAAGGATCAACAAATTAAGTTGCATATGAAAATAATAATTTTGCATTCACTTCAACAAAACACTGCTAGATTATTGAAGATACTATTTGCTAGAAATTGTTTGACAAGATAATTGATGCATTGTACATACCAGATGAACTGATATTTTACAATGATTTTTTAAAAGTTTGATCATTTGAGTGTTCATTAAATTAGCACTCCATAGTATGTACATTCAGTAATGTACATATAAACACCAAAACTTCTCCTCTGCTTTTAAGGGCTTGGAACCTTCTGCTTGAAATAACATGTTAATTCAAGCAGGCAGCATTAAAAGTTTTGTGCCTTTTTTTCCATTTTTTTTCTTTCTCTCTCACTTTTTTCTTTTTTTGTTTTTTTTTCACAATTTTTTTTTTCATTGTTTTTTTGGTGTTTTTTTTTTCTTTCGTTTTTCTTTTCTTTTCTTTTCCTTTTTTTGTTTTGTTTTTTTTTTTTTTTTTTGTTTTATTTTTATTTTTCTTTTGTTTTAATTTTCTTTCTTTTTTTTTGCTTGTTTTTTTTTTGGCACAAAACTTGCCAATGAGATAAAAATAATTTCAAATGTACAATTCAAATTTCAACACGACAATTCACAACATTTTCACATCAACAATTTACAATTGCATTAAACAATCACAATTTAACATTTTAAATCATTAATTGATATAACATTAACAAATCACAAATTAACATTTACAAATCACCGGCAATTTAACATTTGTCATTGACGCAAATCACTATTTTACTTTCTCAAATGCAATATACAATTTTATATTCATTTCTTTCACAGCATATTTAGTCACATCAGTATTTATAAGGCATTCAATTTCACTATAAGCTAATAACGAAAAGGTGACTACTTAGTATATACAAATTATTCTTTCTACAACAGCTGACAGAATTTACACATTCTGTGAATACTTATGTCCTATTATGCAATCATTACATCAGCTGAAACATATTTAACTTCATCAAAACAATTACAATAACTAACTATTATCTCATTGGCATAATCATAAAAAGATAATAAAAGACAAAGCAGCCTCCAACTAGTCACTTTCAGCTTCTCCTCCCCAGGCCAGCCTGGCAGCCGTGGCGGTGAAGGAACTTAAGTTCCAACCAGTAATGCCCCAGGGTATCGTAAAAACCTACTTACAACTAGCCTTCAACTACTTCGTCTTAACAATATGAATATATAGCTAATGAAAAAGAAAGAGAAAGCTGGGGTCAGTGTGGGAGGAAGACGGAGTACCCGTAGAGAACCCACGTGTCCGAATGGGCGACCCCATACCCTGACATAATTCGGACACCCTCTACAAAAATTTATATTTTTATTAAATAGTCTTTGAAAAAAACATTGTTACTAAAATGGATTTACATCAGTGATTTAAAGGTGTGGATTAATCATTAATTAATTCCTGCTTCTTCATCCACACACATGATCTCAAGGATGTTCCTTCTAAAAGTTCCTTTGATTCTCTGTAAATGAACAAGGCAAGAGGTAATTGTCAGGTTTAAATAAAATAAATTAAGAAGAGACCTATATGCTACATTGCTCACCTGAGCTCTAAGACTAGGAAAAAGCAGAAATCAATACAGTACTGTAGACCACCATATTTTCACAACACCTTAGTTTAGTGACTTAGCTATTTGGCATTAATTAGTGAAACAACATTTTTGCTAGCTGTTGTTTCTGTTGTATATATTACACAAGAATAAATTTTCTGCCAGCAGACAGCCCATCTTGAGAAATTTTCACTCATATAGCAATGCAACATTTTTCAGGGAAGGGCTACAAATGTAGACCTATACTTGGTATTAAGGCTATATAGCAGTGAGGGATTTTTTTTGCACCTAACATGGCACCACAGTTTATAATTGATCTTAGTAAAAGACTGGTCTTTTTGTCCCACAGTGGGGTTCGAACCCACAACGGTAGGATCAACTTCTTTATACTATGCTACTCTGTAGCAGATTCTCTTAAATACCACTGCACATGCAACAACAACACAAAATGTGAAAGAAGATGGGAGAACATGGTGGGCAGAATGCCCATAGCATCAGATATTAAAAATTGTATTCAATACGTGAATTGAGTATTTACCTTGTCCTTGCTTAATATAAAAAATAAGATGATTTGGAATATGATAATGTCATATACCTGATCAGTATCAGCATTCACTGTGGTATGTCTTGGTGAAAAAGTCAACATCCATCAGGCATAAATTGTCCTCCAGGTGTTTCCACCAAGTCTTGTTGGGAACATCTACATTTTGAAGATCGTTATCAAGCTTGTCTGTGTTTATTGTTTCCACTAGTTCCTTTTGGGTGTAGCTGATGTTTTCACACATTGGAATATCATTGTCCATCAAGTTTGCCTCAAGATTCATAATGGCCTTGCCTCCTCAAAATTCATTTCACCAAGTCTTTTTAGAAGTATTTGCTGTTTTCCCATCTTTCCACCAATTCCTTTTGGGTGTAGCTGGTGTTTTCACATATTGGATTATCATTGTCCATCAAGTTTGCCTCAAGATTCATAATGGCCTTGCCTCCTCAAGATTTATTTCACCAAGTCTTTCTAGATGTATTTGCTGTTTTCCCATCTTTCCACCAATTCCTTTTGGGTGTAGCTGGTGTTTTCACATATTGGATTATCATTGTCCATCAAGTTTGCCGCAATATAAATAATGGCCTTGCCTCCTCAAGATTTATTTCACCAAGTCTTTTTAGAAGTATTTGCTGTTTTCCCATCTTTCCACCAATTCCTTTTGGGTGTAGCTGGTGTTTTCACATATTGGATTATCATTGTCCATCAAGTTTGCCGCAATATTAATAATGGCCTTGCCTCCTCAAGATTTATTTCACCAAGTCTTTTTTGAAGTATTTGCTGTTTTCCCATCTTTCCACCAATTCCTTTTGGATGTAGCCGGTGTTTTCACATATTGGATTATCATTGTCCATCAAGTTTGCCGCAATATTAATAATGGCCTCAAGATCCTCAATAAATCCTCAAGATTTTATTCACTAAGTCTTTTTAGAAAAATTTGCTGTTTTCTCATCTTTCCACCAATTCCTTTTGCATGTAGCTGGTGTTTTCGCATATTTGAAACTCACTGTTTTCCCATCTTAAAAGAGGTTCATCAAGCTTTTCTATTTCCAGTTGTTTCCACAAGGTTCTGTTGGCTGCAGCTGCAGTAAAATTCAGAAGAAAATAATTGGAGAAAATACATCACTGAAGTTTTTAAGGAAAATCCTCAATTAACTTTTTAAATAATTGTTATGTTGTCTCAATAGTGGTTAAACATATATGTTTTATATTATTAAGCAAAAATTCAATATTGGTGTAAAGAGATGGTTTATCTAGCTGAACACCATAACAAAATTCAACTATTGCTGACTTTAAGAAATAAGACCAGGTAAAATTTTAGCCAGCTAGTTAATTTGACTTTGTTAATAAAATGATCCTAGATTATGATTATGATAATGTCACATACCTGATAAATGTGAGATCAGCATCCTTTGGCTATTCCTCCTCCAGTTGTTTCTATCAGGTCCTTTTGGGTTCATCTACTGTTTTCACCATGTACTGTTGGGCGCATTTGCTGTTTCCACATCTTGGACGATCAGAAAGTACTAGCTATGCATCATCAAGTTGTTTCTATCCATGTCCAGTTGGGTGCATCTGCTGTTACACATGTCTTGTTGAGGACATCTGCTGTTTCCACATCTTGGAAGATTAGCATCCAATGGCCCTGTCTCCTCCAGCTGTTTCCACCATGTCATGCCCTTGTTTATGATCACAAGCTTTCTTGTCACTGACCAGTAGAGCTAAAATTAAGTAGGCTAAAAATAAAAAGTCAGCTAGTAAATTTGACATGGTTAATTAAATGATCTTTAATATATAAATATTGCATGTAGTTCAGTGTATATTATACTGAACGTTTTATACAAATACATATGTATTTGTGAACCGTGTTCACAAATACCACAGTTCACAGTGAAACGTGCATCAATAAATTCTGTGCAGTCGCTATTTTGGGGAATAGCACCCGTCGTCAAGCAATGATGACTGTTGCTATGCTGGAGGGCATGGTTTCATTATTTAGTGGGTAATAGTGTTTTTTTAACAGATGTTTCTCCACCACTCAGATTCAACTAATTTACATGAAAGTATAATATTTTTTATTTTCTCATACACATGTACCTGATGAGTGTCATTATCTCCTTTGATATGTCTTGTCTGGAAGGTCAACATCAGCAGGCAAGTCTCCTCCAGTTGTATCCATCATGTCCTGTTGGGTCCATCTTCTGTTTCCACCAAGTCCAGTGGAGTGCATCTGCTGTTTCCACCAAGCCCAGTGGAGTGTATCTGCTGTTTCCACAAAGGCTAGTTGGGTGCATCTGCTGTTTCCACCAAGTCAAGTGGAGTGCATCTGCTTTTCCACCAACGCCAGTTGGGTGCATGGGCTAAAAATATCAACAGCTCTATTTCACTGCATGCATTTTACACTAAAATACCCTTGTCAGTCCCTTTCAACTAAGATTTCATTTCCTTAATTTCTTAGATTTACATTTTTATTCTGTTCCTAAATTTTTGGTCTTTGATTTGTTTAAAATGAATGCATAACATACATGTGATAATTTCTAGACCAGATACTGTACAGCAGCCTTTAAAATACTGGAATTTGGGTGAAAATACTGTACATTGCTAACCAAAAAAACGGTACAAAAAACAGTACAAAATATCGACCAAATACAGTGTCAGATGTTTATTTTTTAATAATAAATTTCAAATCAATATTCAGGTGCACCACTGCATAAAATGTATCATGATTTAATTATTTTTCATTTCAAGGAACTTTTGAAGAATTTTGAATTTCGGCATAAAACTATGCTAAATGCTGAACTTAGTAAAAAGTACAGTGTTTAAAAACACTTCATTGTATGAATCTGGTCGTTTCCATTCAGCTTTATTATTAAAATTGTACTAATAATCATTTTTCTTAATCCGTATTTAAATAGACAATACGTATGCCTGATCAAATAATGGACGAATTTTAGTTTTGCTGTCACAAAGTGTCTCCGATTCTTATGAATGATGTTTTCTTTGAAATGTCTTTACTTTTAATAAATTACAGTTTAAAAGAATCCTTTATAAACCTGTCTTATTGAAAAGCAATCAGCTAAACAAAATGCTTTGATATCTCCTAATTACGGTGTAATTATCACGGGAATATTTCACACATTCGTTCATGCTGTTTTGTTTACATTAATTAGGGGCAGTAAGTCACGCATACTTCGAGATTTCCGGTGTTGCGAGAGTGGGAATGAAAGAAAAATGGCGGTTTCCTGTAAACATTTCAAAATACGGTACACATTTTCATTTCCCGTGAATTTTGTTGTACCGCCGGGACACCGTGATAGGGGTCGAAAATAAAGGGACATTTCCTGTACCGCCGGTACATATCACATGTATGGCATAATAAAAGTGACCACTTATAATAAAGTTTTATAGGATGTTTCATTGAAAAAAATAAATGACCACCTAAGATAGATCTCTGCTGTATAAAGATGACTACATGTACTATGAAGTTTGGCTGTATATTATTGATTTGAAATGGAACATTATAAATCTATAATCTAACAATAATACTTCATTTCAGTTTTCTATATACAGCAAAACTTGTTTAGTACGAACAAGGATATTGCCAATTCACGGTTATAGCAAAATTATCTTGGATCTCAGAGCTTAATAAATTTAATGAATTCCTTATACAGATATAACGAATTATGGATATAGTGAAGTAATTTTATAGGTCCCCGTAACTTCGTTTTATCCAAGTTTTACTGTATTTTTCAACTATTATCAATTCAATATTTTCTATCTTACCTTATAGATGATGGTTTAGAATTTGGCTTATTTCTCTTCTTCTTTAGTGAATTATCCAACTAAAAAATACTAACAAAATTTTAAAATAGACCTGAAATAATAGATACTGAGTAAAACTTGTTTGGTACAAACACAGATATTATGAATTCATAGATAATAGTGAAATTATATTCAGTCCCTAGCTATATAAATTTTACTAAAATCATTACACGGATATAACAAATTATGGATATAGCGAAGTAATGTCATAGGCCCCAGTGACTTCGTTATAACCGAGTTTTACTGTAATAAGGCCCTCAATAAGACAGGTGCTTTGGGTGAAACACACTGTTTCCTCCTTATCCAACATGTCTAATGTTGATGCTAATGCACAATGCAACAATGAACATTAGACATATTCTTAGGAATAATAAATGCAATAACAAATAAAAATCACAACAATAATAATTAACAAAAATTCATAACTATTATAACAAATAATTAAAAATCTCAACTAAAGCAAATAACTAAAACACATAACTATAACAAATAACTAAACTCATAACAACTAATTAAAGCTCATAACAATAACAACTAACTAACACTCATAACAAAAACAAATAATAAATCACAAACAACAGCACTTAAGCTCCTAACAACTAAAACAACAATAATAATTAACAAAAATTCATAACTATTATAACAAATAATTAAAAATCTCAACTAAAGCAAATAACTAAAACTCATAACTATTACAAATAACTTGCACCAACTAAATAAAACTCATAACAATAACAACTAACTAACACTCATAACAATAACAAATAATTAAAAAGCACAACAAAAGCAAATAACTTAAGCTCCTAACAAGTAAAACTCAAGACTGCCTCAATAACAAATAATTGAAACTCATAACAATGTCAAGTAATAAAAACATTAAAAACATAGTGTAACAATTAACAAATAAAACATGAAAATTAACAACTTTTACAACCCTCACAAACAAAAAACTATTAAAACAACTCAATAAACAAACAACAATTATAATAAAACCTAACGAACAAATAACAACAAATACTAACAAAGAAAACAAAATATAAACCAAAAAGTAAGAGCTAAAATAACAAAGAGACCTAACATCAAAGAAATAGAAAAAAAACCTCCACTCCAGCGTTGTTGGCATGCTGTTCCAATCCAACGTGCCCAGCCTCCTCCAACGATGTGCACCATCTCCAACGATGACATTCCGGCAAAGAGAGAACAGAGAAGATTAGACAAAGAAAAAACAACAAAAAAATAAAAAAGAAAGAACTACTACAAAAAATGTGTTGAGAGTGGGAAGGGGAGGGAAATGTTAGTACTAATTAGTAAGAGTACAAAAATGATAATGAAACCAACTCACCTCTGCTTTTCCTTAACAACTAAGCAATACCTCCGTTCCAGCGTTGTTGGCATGCTGTTCCAATCCAATGTGCCCAGCCTCCTCCAACGATGTGCACCATCTCCAACGATGACATTCCGGCAAAGAGAGAACAGAGAAGATTAGACAAAGAAAAAACAACAGAACAAAAACACAGAAAGAAAGAACTACTACAAAAAATGTGTTGAGAGTGGGGGAGGGGAGGGAAATGTTAGTACTAATTAGTAAGAGTACAAAAATGATAATGAAACCAACTCACCTCTGCTTTTCCTTAACAACTAAGCAATACCTCCATTCCAGCGTTGTTGGCATGCTGTTCCAATCCAATGTGCCCAGCCTCCTCCAACGATGTGTACCATCTCCAACGATGACATTCCGGCAAAGAGAGAACAGAGAAGATTAGACAAAGAAAAACCAACAGAGCAAAAAAAAAAGAAAGAACTACTACAAAAATGTGTTGAGAGTAGGGGAGGGGAGGGAAATGTTAGTACTAATTAGTAAGAGTACAAAAATGATAATGAAACCAACTCACCTCTGCTTTTCCTTAACAACTAAGCAATACCTCCGTTCCAGCGTTGTTGGCATGCTGTTCCAATCCAATATGCCCAGCCTCCTCCAACGATGTGCACCATCTCCAACGATGACATTCCGGCAAAGAGAGAACAGAGAAGATTAGACAAAGAAAAAACAACAGAACAAAAAACAAAAAGAAAGAACTACTACAAAAAATGTGTTGAGAGGGGAAGGGGAGGGAAATGTTAGTACTAATTAGTAAGAGTACAAAAATGATAATGAAACCAACTCACCTCTGCTTTTCCTTAACAACTAAGCAATACCTCCGTTCCAGCGTTGTTGGCATGCTGTTCCAATCCAATATGCCCAGCCTCCTCCAACGATGTGCACCATCTCCAACGATGACATTCCGGCAAAGAGAGAACAGAGAAGATTAGACAAAGAAAAAACAACAGAACAAAAAATAAAAAGAAAGAACTACTACAAAAAATGTGTCGAGAAGGGAAGGGGAGGGAAATGTTAGTACTAATTAGTAAGAGTACAAAAATGATAATGAAACCAACTCACCTCTGCTTTTCCTTAACAACTAAGCAATACCTCCATTCCAGCGTTGTTGGCATGCTGTTCCAATCCAATGTGCCCAGCCTCCTCCAACGATGTGCACCATCTCCAACGATGACATTCCGGCAAAGAGAGAACAGAGAAGATTAGACAAAGAAAAAACAACAAAAAACAAAAAGAAAGAACTACTACAAAAAATGTGTTGAGAGGGGAAGGGGAGGGAAATGTTAGTACTAATTAGTAAGAGTACAAAAATGATAATGAAACCAACTCACCTCTGCTTTTCCTTAACAACTAAGCAATACCTCCGTTCCAGCGTTGTTGGCATGCTGTTCCAATCCAATATGCCCAGCCTCCTCCAACGATGTGCACCATCTCCAACGATGACATTCCGGCAAAGAGAGAACAGAGAAGATTAGACAAAGAAAAAACAACAGAACAAAAAAACAAAAAGAAAGAACTACTACAAAAAATGTGTTGAGAGGGGAAGGGGAGGGAAATGTTAGTACTAATTAGTAAGAGTACAAAAATGATAATGAAACCAACTCACCTCTGCTTTTCCTTAACAACTAAGCAATACCTCCATTCCAGCGTTGTTGGCATGCTGTTCCAATCCAATATGCCCAGCCTCCTCCAACGATGTGCACCATCTCCAACGATGACATTCCGGCAAAGAGAGAACAGAGAAGATTAGACAAAGAAAAAACAACAGAACAAAAAACAAAAAGAAAGAACTACTACAAAAAATGTGTTGAGAGGGGAAGGGGAGGGAAATGTTAGTACTAATTAGTAAGAGTACAAAAATGATAATGAAACCAACTCACCTCTGCTTTTCCTTAACAACTAAGCAATACCTCCATTCCAGCGTTGTTGGCATGCTGTTCCAATCCAATATGCCCAGCCTCCTCCAACGATGTGCACCATCTCCAACGATGACATTCCGGCAAAGAGAGAACAGAGAAGATTAGACAAAGAAAAAACAACAGAACAAAAAACAAAAGGAAAGAACTACTACAAAAATGTGTTGAGAGTGGGGGAGGGGAGGGAAATGTTAGTACTAATTAGTAAGAGTGCAAAAATGATAATGAAACCAACTCA